GAATGTTGTTCTTAGGTTTGCTAGGCGCCAGTATGCTGCAGCAGTTATTTGGTTGATATACACCTCTGGAGATGTGACTGGTGTTATACTCACCCAAAGATCCTTTTCCGTGAGTGAGGTTTGTAATCTCTGGCCTCCTAGACTGTACTCCGTCCGTGTTCTTCTTGGCCCTTCTCCAATCTTCATGATTTTGCACTTGGTAGGCTTGAACACCAGGAGCCAGTTGCTGGACCAAGCCTGCAGCCTGTCCAGATCCCTTTGTAGTTCTGCCTGGTCCTCATCTGATTGAATTCTGCTCAACTTCTCATCATCTACACACAGGGACACTTCGGAGTCTGTGCCTTCCGTCATGTCGTTCACAAATACCAGAAACAGCACCGGTCTTAGATTGACCCCTGTAGAACCCCGCTCGCTAGAGTCGCCCACTCTGACGCCTCGCCACGTACTATGACTCGCTGTTGTCTTCCTGACAGGTATTCCTGATCCATTGTATGCCTTCCCTGTTATCCCTGCTTGGCCCTCCAGCTTTTGCACTAATCTCCTGTACTAACTGTGTCAAACTCTTTCTTACAGTCCAAGAAAATGCAATCAACCCACCCGTCTCTCTCTGCTGTCACCTTGTCATAGAACTCCAATAGGTTTGTGACACAGAATTTCCCGTACCTGAAACCATGTTGGCTGTCGTTGATAAGCTCATTCCTTCCTAGGTGCTCCACCACTGTTCTACCAATAATCTTCTCTATGACCTTGCATACTATACATGTCAGCGACACTGGTCTGTAGTTTAATGCTTCATGTCTGTCTCCTATTTTAAAAACTGGGACTACATTTGCTGTCTTCCATACCTCAGGTAGTCGCCCTATTTCGATAGATGTGTTGAAACCAATGTTGTTAGTGGGCACATAGTCGCCTCCTGAACCTTTTCAGGACCTATGGATAGATGTTTCCCTGGCCCCATCGCCTTTCAAGGTATCAAGCTCACTGAGAAGCCTCATATTACTTCTCCTCGGTTGTTATGTATTGTGTCCAACATTTGATGGTGTACCTCACATTCTCCGTCTTTCTGGAGTCCCTTCCGTCTCCTCTGTGAAATTCTTTGAATCTCATGTTGAGCTGCCTCCATACTTCTGCGGGATGCTTTTTGTGATCTCTCCTCCTTCCTTCCTCAGTCTGATTACTGGTCCCTTGATGTTGTTCTTTCCTCCTGGAAGTTGCTATGCTATAGCTTCGTTAGAATTTGTTTCGCTCTATATGTGCTGTGTGACTGTGTGGGTGAACATTGTCTGGTCTATTATGTGAGGTTGGAATATGTGTCTGTGGAACTATTTGATGTGGGTTTACTGAGATGTGTATGAAAGTAGTTGGTTAGGAGTATGGTTTTAGAGTATGTATTAGGGGTGTAAATGTGTATGTATGTGGGTGGGTTGTGTGTGTGTGTGTTGTGATGTGGGTGTGTGATGTGAATGTGTGGGTGGTGTGTATGAGTGTATTGTGTGTGTGTGTGTGTGTGTGTGTGTGTGTGTGTGTGTGTGTGTGTGTGTTGTTGTTGTGTGTGTGTGTGTGTGTGTGTGTTGTGTGTGTGTGTGTGTGTGTGTGTGTGTGTGTGTGCTTGGTGTTAATGCATATGCATGTGTGTGCTTGTATGGGGAAAACAGTGTTGTGTAAGCGTGGTCGTACGCGTGTTAAACTACCCGAGAAGTGTTGCTCTGCCATACTCTCAATGTTGTATACATGTACAGATGACCACACTAAGCTGAGATGAATCAGAGCCAAATGAAGACATGTGGTAACTACCAGCAGTAGTGAAGAGTATTTGGTTATGAAAGAACACGTTCGCCCATTCACTGAGCGTTGTACAAGAAGCGACCTTTTGGTAGATGGGTTATCAAGTTGTGTGTGTAATGTTAGTCCACTATGAACCCAGTTTAAATCGCAATAAATGACTGTTAATGAATAAACAGAAATATGGGTAGTAGGTACCGTTAACGGATATATGAACAGAAGTTTTCAAAATTTTCCTATTAAAAACCCCGTACTCAGTGTTAAGCGCTGGACCAGCCACCATCCTGGCCACGGGTTGATCCTTCCGTCCATCAATCTATTTAGTCTACTATGTTTAAACAAAGGAATTGATATTAACTATGCACGTGAAATTATGTTATTACTGACGACGAATATAAGAACGATAATTAAGATTAGTTGCACGACAATGTGATACTCATATTCTTTCTCTCTCTCTCTCTCTCTCTCTCTCTCAATAAGATACATATCCACTCATATCCACTTATATTCCAAACAAAGGAATGACAGTATATGGATGTGCAGTCACTGTGCGTTTTAGAAATTATAAGTATTATGTGACTAAATATAAATCTGATTTAGCAGTCTGCAGCTTCTGTAGTGGGAAAATCTCTGATTACGAAAAATGGCATAACAACATAAACCCATATGGGGAAGCACTGCAGGAGGCTCACTGGCCACATCAGGCATCCACAACTTATCGTTCCCTCATACTCTCACACCCGTCCAACCCACTGATAACGTTACCCAAAGTGAGCTTCAATGACGTTTATTGACGCTGATATTTGATAATCCTAAATGAATGAATACGGTATGGAAGGATAGCACGATAAACGACTTTCATTGCAATTTTAATTAGGGTTATGGTCTCTCACCTGCCAAATCAGTAATTTAAGGAATCTATTAAATAATACAGTACAGATTTAGGCCCAGTGTCGCTCATAATATACATTAATGACCTTGATGAGATAATTACAATTGATATGAACAAATTCGCTGATGGCACAAAAATAGGCAGGATAATATATTCAGGGTAACATGCCACTGAAGTTAATTATGAGTTAGACCAACTCATGTCGTGGTCAGAAAAGTGGCAGATGTAGTCCAGTGTAGATAAAGTAAAATGAAAAACCTCGGGAATGTAAATAATCTTAACACGTCAACTAACAAACATAGAACTTGACCATACAGAATGTGAAAAGAACTTGAAAGTTGTGGTAAGCAGCAACTTGAAGCCAAGACAGCAGTGCCTAAGCGTACGTAATAAGACAAACAGATTACTGGGATTTATATCAAGAAGTGTAAGCAACAACAGCACAGAGGCTATACTATAGCTCTATACATCCATTAGTAAGACCTCACTTAGATTATGCAGGTCACTTCTGGTTTCTATGCTACAGATGTAAATTTATTGAAGAACATACAGAGTAGAATGAAAAAAAATAATCCACTGCATAAGAAATCTTTCAGACGAAGATGGATTGAGAGCTCTTAACCTATAGTCTCTTGTAAGATGTTGAGTCAAGGGAGACAAGATTGACGTGCTTGAGTTGAAGATGTCCATAAATAAAGGAGATATAAACAAACAAGGATCTTTGGATACCCCTACAAGAAAGAACTTGAAATAATGGATTCAAATTAGACAAGTTTAGGTTTAGAAATGGTTGTAGAAAAGTTTTGGTTTGGAACCTGATTAGATGATAAGTAGAGCAGTCTGCCTAGTAGGATCACTGAAGCAAAAACCTTGAGTAGCTTCCATTATAAGTTGAGATTTGAGTGAGACTTGCATATCGTGAGTTAGTAGAATTATCCAAGCTTATTCCATAAGTATCACTTACAGTGTTTGGGTTTATGAAGAGCCTGCCTAATATGGGTCGGTAGGTGTGTTACCATGTTCCACTCAATATTGTATTCTTTACCTTACTTTACCGCCTTGGATTCCTCAGTGAAAATGGTAGTAAATTTGTTTAAGCATGAAAGAACCTTAGTAAAACTGTGTGCAGAGACTCGTTCATCAAATTATATCTTCAAATGGCTTCGAATTTCATCAGAAATTATTTGCTCCATCAACTTTTCAACAGTTATGCTAACAGGTCAGTAATTTGAAGCTAAGAACCTACCTCCCGCTTTGTAAATATGTATCATGTTTGTCATCTTCCACTTATCTGGCACAATACCCGTATGTAGTGATCTGAAGTGGCGACTAGCTAATAATTTGCTAGGTTCCTCTTTGTGTTTCTTTAGAATACACAAATAACTCGCACATAGTAGAGACGAGCTTACGACAACGTTTTGATCCGAATTGGACCATTTACAAAGTCACACTCTGTGACTTTATAAATGGTCAAAGTCTGACCGAAACGTCGTCATAAGCTCCTCCCTCCTATGTACGGCTTATTTGTGTATTGTTCCAATCACGGAATTGTGCCTTTTTGTTATTTCTTTAGTATCCTCGAAAATAGATCATCAGACCCGGTAACTCTGGCATTAATGTGTCTTAGTTGTCTGAGAACCATGTCACTAGTGACTTTGATACTGCATAATATGTTGTCGTTCTGATCCCTTTAAATTATTAATTTCTGGGATTTGTTTTTATCCTTCCGTGTAAAAAGATGAAATAAATGTTGAAAAATGGAACACATTTGTTTGTCATTAACAATAAACAGACTTAAGTTACATCTATGTAGCTCTGTATTTTTGCTAGTCTTATGAATATATACCTGAAAGAATAACTTTGAACTGGGTTTTAGCCGCACCCCTTCTGATCTCTGCCCTTTATTATCTTCGAAAAAATCGTGTTTATACAATGAACTACTATCTAGAGTCTACTTTAGCTTAAGCTAGTGATAAAGATAGGCTTAGTAAAGTTTTTACTTCATCAAGGAATGAGAATCAAACTCCGGATCTTACAGCTACGCAAGTTAAGCTTTCACCACTGAGTTCCATGTATGTAATTTTGAGTGACTGTGTGTGTGTGTGTGTGTGTGTGTGTGTGTGTGTGTGTGTGTGTGTGTGTGTGTGTGTGTGTGTGTGTGTGTGTGTGTGTGTGTGTGTGTGTGTGTGTGCTAATATTAATTTCGTCTTTGATTAGAAACCAGAAAGTAATTGTAAGAAAAAGGCTTAATAAATATCGCCCGTGACTGCATGAAATAACAAATATGAGTCAAGAAAAATATAATATAAAATACGAAATATGTAACCTGTGCCGAGGGAGACTAAACTGCTGATGACCAGAGTGATGATGACGCCAGTGACGCCGCTGTAGCAGTACGAGGTATCATACATGGTCTTGTGTGTTGATCTGTAGTGACAGTAGACAGTGATTATTGGCACTTGCTGCTGTATGTTAGTAACGTACAAGCAACACTGTCTCAAACTCGCCTACTTGTTTCATTCACAAAAATATTGTGTATGCAATATAATTTACAGTTAATTTATATGCAAATCAAAATATTAATTATTTATTAATTAATTATTAACAAAATTCATCATGTAATTAGAAAACAGAACATGTTACTGAATAGACAACAGCTAATCGACCACTCCTACACTCCACTCCAGCCCATCAGTTTGTTGTTCATACACCTACTTATCATCTGGTTATCCGTCTATCACCTGGGCCACCTTCATGCCAGTTGCCCTCCTTCTGGTCAGCCGTTCATGGTCTGGTCAGGTGTCCGCTGTCTGATCGGCTACTAAACGCTTGATTATCTGACAACTATCTTGACAGCTTCCCAATAGTTTCTGATAGGACGGCTGCCACCGTCTGATCTCTAACTCAATGACCATTCAGCTACCTGTTTATCAGCTACCTACTGTCTAACGAGCTCTTTCCTGGTTATTCAGCTACCCTCGGGTCAACCACGAACTATCCGATCAGCTGAACACAATCTAGCAATCCACCTATCATCTGGTTACTATCCTACTATCTAGTCAGCATCCCACCATCTAGTCAGCATCTCACCATCTAGTTGAAGATTGAGACACTTATGCAGCATATGGGAATCTTTATTCAGGAAACGTTTCGCCACACAGTGGCTTCATCAGTCCAATACAAAGAGGAAGGCGTAAGGAGAGGAGGAGAATGAGGTAATCAGTCCCTCAACCTGGAGTCGATGTGTTCAGTCCATCAATCTTGTAGAATGTACAGCAAAGGGCCGTAGACGTGGCCTATATACTGTAGTGAGGTGACGTGAAGCAGATGCTGTACATTCTACAAGATTGATGGACTGAACACATCGACTCCAGGTTGAGGGACTGATTACCTCATTCTCCTCCTCTCCTTACGCCTTCCTCTTTGTATTGGACTGATGAAGCCACTGTGTGGCGAAACGTTTCCTGAATAAAGATTCCCATATGCTGCATAAGTGTCTCAATCTTCAACTTGTCGGTTTTTCAAACCATTCATCACATCTCACCATCTAGTCAGCATCCCACCGTCAAATCAGCATTCCATCGTATAATCAGCATTCCACGTCTAGTCAGCATTCCACCATCTAGTCAGCATCCCACCATCTAGTCAACATCCCACCGTCTAGTCAGCATCCCACCGTCTAGTCAGCATCCCACCGTTTAGTCAGCAGCCCACCGTCTATTCACCTCCATACCGAATTGTCTGCCACAACTGTCTGGCCACTCGATCATTGACTGATTAGCTTCCCATCCTCTCTAAATGACCAAACGACTTCAGCAACCCCTCTTCACCCCTCGGACTAATACTTTTAGTAACTCCATACCTATTCCTAATTTCCACACAATGAATTCTCTGCATAATATTTACACCACACAATGCCCTTAGACACGACATCTCCACTGTCTCCAATCTCCTCCTCTCTGCAGCATTTACAACCGATGCTCACACCCATATAAGAGTTATGGTTGCACTATACTCTCGTGCCTTCCCGTCTTTACCTTCATGGATATCGTTTTTTTTTCTCCACAGATACCTCAACGCACCACTCACCTACTTTCCTTCACCAGTTCTATGATTAACCTCATTCTTCATAAACCCATCTGCTGACAAGTCAACTTCCAAATATATGAACACATTCCATATTTCCTCCCTCCAATGTGATATCCAACTTTTCTTTATCTAAATCGTTTGATACCATTATCACCTTACTCTTATCTATGTTCACTTTCAACTTTCTACCTTTACACACTCTCCCAAACTTGTCCGCTAACCTTTGCAACTTTTCTTTAGAATCCCCCAGCAGCACAGTATCATCAACAAAAATAACTGAGTCAACTCCCACTTTGTATTTAATTCCCCATAATTTAATCCCAATCCCTCTCCCAAACATCTTAGCATTTACTTCTTTTACAACCCCATCTATAAATACGACAAACAACCATGGTGACATTATAAATTCCTGTTTAAGACCTACTTTTGCTAGGAAGTAATCTCCCTCTCTCCTACATATCATCATTATCATCATAAAAACTCTTTACAGCATTAAGTAATCTACTACCTATTCCATACACTTGCAGCATTTGCCACATTGCTTCTCTATTCACTCTATCATATGCCTTTTCTAAATCCATAAATGCAATGAAGACTTCACTAGCTTTATCTAAATACTGTTCACACATATATGCTTCAATGTAAACACTTGATCTACACATCCTCTACCCACTCTAAAACCTCCTTGCTCATCTGCAATCCTACTCTCTGTCTTACCTCTAATTCTTTCAATAATAAACCTACCATACACTTTACCAGGTGTACTCAGTAAACTTACTCCTCTATAATTTTTAAAAATCTCTTTTGTCTCCCCTCCCTTTATATAAAGGAACTATACATGCTCTCTGCAAATCCCTAGTTACCTTCCCCTCTTTTATACATTTGCTTAACAAAAATACCAACCACTCCAACACTATATCCTTCCCGTGCTTTTTAACATTTTTGTCATCCAGTCAGTTCCAGCTGCTTTACCCCCTTTCATTCTCCGTAATGCCTCACGCACCTCCCCCACACTCACATCCGGCTCTTTATCACTCCTAAAAGATGTTATACCTCCCTGTCCAGTGCACGAAATTACTGTTTCCCTTTCTTCATCAACGTTTAACAGTTCCTCAAAATATTCCCGATATCTTATCGATATCTGCTTGTCTCCAAATATTTTTCTTATTCTCAGCAAAATTTGTTGACAGTGCTTCACCCACTCTATCATTTACTCTTTTTGCACTTTCATCACCTTTCTTTTATACTCCATATACTCCGCCCTTCACATATAACTTCTGCTTTCTTAAAACCTCTCATAAGCCTCCTTTTTCTCTTTTATCGCACACTTTACCTCATTATCTCACCAAACACTCCTCTATTCTCCTGCACCCACCCTCCTTTAACCACAAACTTCTGCCCCACATTCTAACACAGCGTTTTTAAAACTATCCCACATCTCCTCCACCACTCTCCCCCTCATTACCAATATTCGCACTAGCCCACCTTTCTGCTAACAGTTGCTTAAATCTCATCCTAACTTCCTCTTCCCTTAGTTTATAAACTTTCACCTCTCACTTGCTGTTGCCATTTTCCTTTTTCTCCATCTACCTCTTACTCTAACTGTAGCTACAACTAAATAATGATCCGACAATCTGTTGCCCCTCTACAAACATGTACATCCTGAAACCTACCCATCAACATTTTATCCACCAATACATAATGTAACAAATTACTTTCATTTTGTGCTATATCATATATTGTATATATATCGTCTTTTTCATAAAATATGTATTACTTATTACCAAACCTCTTTCTACACATAGCTCAATTAAAGGCTCTCCATTTTCATTTGCCCTTGGCACCCCAAATTTACTTACTAATCCCTCCACAGCTTTTATACATACGTACATACACATATGTGTGTGTATGTGTGTGTGTGCGTGCGTGTGTGTGTGTGTGTGTGTGTGTGTGTGTGTGTGTGTGTGTGTGTGTGTGTGTGTGTGTACTCACCTATTTGTACTCACCTATTTGTGGTTGCAGGGGTCGAGTCCTAGCTCCTGGCCCCGCCTCTTCACCGGTTGCTACTAGGCCCTCTCTCTCCCCGCTCCATGAGCTTTATCAAACCTCGTCTTAAAACTGTGTATGGTTCCTGCCTCCACTACGTCATTTTCTAGGCTATTCCACTGCCTTACAACTCTATGACTGAAGAAATACTTCCTACTATCTCTCTGACTCATTTGTGTCTTCAACTTCCAATTGTGGCCTCTTGTTTCTGTGTCCCCTCCTGGAACATCCTGTCTTTGTCCACCTTGTCTATTCCACGCAGTATTTTATATGTCGTTATCATGTCTCCCCTGACCCTCCTGTCCTCCAGTGTCGTCAGGCCGATTTCCCTTAATCTTTCTTCATAGGACATTCCCCTTAGCTCTGGAACTAACCTTGTCGCAAACCTTTGTACTTTCTCTAGTTTCTTGACGTGCTTTATCAAGTGCGGGTTCCAAACAGGTGCTGCATACTCCAGTATGGGCCTGACATACACGGTGTACAGTGCCTTGAATGATTCCTTACTAAGGTATCGGAATGCTGTTCTCAGGTTTGCCAGGCGCCCATATGCTGCAGCAGTTATCTGATTGATGTGTGCTTCCGGAGACATGCTCGGTGTTATACTCACCCCAAGATCTTTCTCCTTGAGTGAGGTTTGCAGTCTTTGGCCACCTAGCCTATACTCTGTCTGTGGTCTTCTGTGCCCTTCCCCTATCTTCATGACTTTGCATTTGGCAGGATTAAATTCGAGAAGCCATTTGCTGGACCAGGTGTCCAGTCTGTCCAGGTCTCTTTGAAGTCCTGCCTGGTCCTCATCAGATTAATTCTCCTAATTAACTTCACATCATCTGCAAACAGGGACACTTCTGAGTCTAACCCTTCCGTCATGTCGTTCACATTACCAAAAATAGCACTGGTCCTAGGACCGACCCCTGTGGGACTCCGCTCGTCACAGGTGCCCACTGTGATACATCATTACGTACCATGACTCGTTGTTGCCTCCCTGTCAGGTATTCTCTGATCCATTGCAGTGCCCTTCCTGTTATATTGCGCCTGATGCTCTAGCTTCTGCACTAATCTCTTGTGAGGAACTGTGTCAAAGGCCTTCTTGCAGTCCAAGAAGATGCAATCAACCCACCCCTCTCTCTCTTGTCTTACTTCTGTTATTTTATCATAAAACTCCAGAAGGTTTGTGACACAGGATTTGCCTTCCGTGAATCCGTGCTGGTTGGCATTTATACTCCTGTTCCGTTCCAGGTGCTCCACCACTCTCCTCCTGATAATCTTCTCCATAATTTTGCATACTATACACG